TTAGAAAAGTAAGTTTGTTAGTATAAAAGGTAACTTCGAAAATCATGTCCTATCAAAGAAGTAATTTAAAAAGTGAATTTGACTTACTTTTAAGCCAACCAAACATGCTCGTTGCCTAAATAATATAGAAAGCTGCTACAAGGATTGGAATCATATTATAGTGACACTTAAAAAGAGGCTCAGAAATTAAAACTCACCCAAATGAGTTTTTAGATGTATCAATGCAAGAAACTTTGTTCTTTGTTGACATCAGATGGATCAATGCAAGAAACTGGATGATTTTGGCCAAGGTACAATATCAAAATTCCAAATCTTATTTATGTTCTTGCGATATGGGATATTACCCTAAACAACTTATTAATCTTAGGCCGAATTTTTCACTAACTTGAGATGGCGAAGTATTTTTTATCCACATCTATCTGGCTATCTCTTCCTATCAAAATGGCCCAAGTGGCTCACCCTCAATTATAAATCCCAGCACATAAGATTCGGCAGACAGAAATTAAGACAGGATTCTTAAACATACTTATGATATTGCACTAAAAAATATTCGAGAATCTCGAAATTTCAGAACCAACCCTCAATTTTTTTTTTTTGAAATTTCAAATTTCTAGTCCATGTTTGGTTTTGATTAAAATTTGATTTTAATTTAAGTCAAAGTCAAAGTCAAAGTCAAACAATCAATATTAATCACATCTTTCATGAGTCTCAGAATCTTTCAACCATACATTTTAAAAACTTCTATCACAATCTACTAAAAAATCTAATTTTAATCTTCACCAAACATCCTCCTAGTTTTCTCCTAATCCTCCTTGTTTGTAAATTATTTGCATTCAGTCAGAGAATTAAGAAACCATACAGGCATTGGACACATGGATAGGCCAACATAAGCATAAGAAGAAGACGAAGAGGCCGAACCTATGGTTGGGTAATTGGATTTCGTCGAAACTTTTGCAGCCACTGGCAGTTTTTACTTTTTGGGGATTTTCAAATTGGTATTGTTCTCTGCTTCTCTTCAAGTTTATCAAGTACGTGTTCTTCGGTCAGTGATAAAAAGAACTCAAGATTTTTTTGGTGATAATGATTGGAATGGAATGGAGAAGTGGAGAAGAATGCGATGGTTCATTTTTCTCTTTTTTTGCCTTCTTTAAGGGATGGGCGATTTTGGGCTCTTTTAGATGCCCCTTAAAATTGAGGCCCAAAGTAGTGGCCTTACTTGCCTTGGGCTAGGGCCGACCTTGGTTTGAGGGACAAGAAAGGTCCTTGTTATATGTCTTGCTTAGTTCCACAAAATATCTGAATATTAATCAGCAAAAGTTAATGGATTTTGAGCTTGGTTCAATACTGTTGGGGTTTGATTTATGGTCCATATTAAAGAATATATCTGAATCAAGTTCAAAAGTTATGATTAATGTTGCTTTACCACCATCACCAATGGTGTCTTTGTATTCAATTGTTAGAGATAGACTCAGAAGAGATATTAGACCTCCAAAAATGGATGGCGAAGCTGATTTTGTTGTTTATGCTTTAGTACAGTTGAAGATGTTAAGTTTAGCAAAGAACATTCTCTAAAAGCATTTTGTGTTGATTCAATTACAAGGTATGTTTCTACTTTGTCTGGTAAATATTAAATTATTTGTAATTTTGTTTCTCGTGGGAAGAATTCGAGCAACTTTGATGAGCAAGATAATCTTGATGAGAAGTGCTTGGATTTAGATAATTTTTTCAGTTATTGAGTTTATCGTACTTAGGTTCTGGGGAAGAGGTGGAAAAATTTTCCTGTTGTGGGATTCGTTTTGGAGAGGATGTTTTTGTTGAAGAGTTAAGTTTTATTCTTTACAGTGGAATTTGTCTCCAGTTAGAGAAATTTTTGAAATTTTGTTCATTGTAGTGGAATTCGTGTCAATGTGGGATTTGTCAGAATTAGGGTAAGACTTGAATTCTACTAGAAAGACTACTTGAGAATTCTATTTGAAGTCTAGTTGGGATTTCTAATTAAAGTTTCTTTGGGAATTTAAGTTGAAATTCAATTTGAAAGTTGGTAGTAGACTTGTCAAAGAGATCTCGAAGGAGTCCAAGTTGCAATTTGTTTCCCTTCGCATTTCTGCACTTTTCCACTCCTACTTCATTTCAAATATTATATTATTAGTTTTACCTTTTTTACATCGGGACTTTACCTTATTTTAAATTCTTTATTGTATTATATTCCTAGTATTCTTCATTGTATTATTTCTTCTCATAACTTTTCAAATACATATTTTACATATGTATACATGTATACATATACATATTGAACGTTGGATATATATTATGAGCACTGGTATTCATTTTATGTTAAGTGATAATAACGTGTCATATCAATCATTTGAGAATGCAGAATAGCAAATGCATATAAACTGGATCTAGAGGCTTTACAGTTTTATGGCTCGTTATGTGTCAAAATCTCCGAGAGCAGCACATATCAATTATCGAGATTTGGATATTGGAGTGAACAATATTATAGAGAAAACGAGCTACTAACAAGCAAGTGTTTAGGGATTTAAGTATTTCAAGAATAATTTAAAAATATTAATTAATGTGAAGAAGGTGGATCCAACTAATTTATTTAGATTTGAATGAAGTAGTCTGCCAATATAACCATGATAATACAAACTATATAGAATGGCTTGCTATTAATTACGTATTGAATAAAAAGTATGTGTCCTCAATAAACATAAATTGAGGATTAAGGAATAAATATCCCTTCGTATTTTTGCAATTAAGAAAACTTATAAATAGGGCAAAAATCAAACAAATATAAATAGGCTGGATAAATCTTTTAATTGAAAACAAGAAAAAAAAAAAGAGTGAAATTGCTGGTATTAATTGGAATGAAAGTAAGAAATGAAACATCTAACAAACTCCGTCTTCTGTATTCTATTTGAATAATGTTCAATACATCATCTTTCTATAAAAGCTGAAGGCATGTAATGTATTCAATATGTTTTGCTGGCATTTACATTAACTTTTACTCGATCATGTTTCAACTTTCAACTATCCCAAATTAATATTGGTGTCGTATTCATTTTGATAAAGCAAACATGAAATGGCAGTCCATGTCAACTTGGACCTACAAACACCAATCTTAACGGATCATATGGGCCCATTGGACAAACATTGTGGTCACGCTTCAAATCAACTGCTTTTGTATTTAGGACGTATAATACGGTTTAATTAAAAGTTTTCTTTAACAATTAAATGTTATTATTATTATTATTATTATTATTATTATTATTATTAAAACATCAAGGCCATAGTGGGTCTTGTTGACCTCGTTTTCTATTAGAATCACATGGACAACGGATACCGTTTCCACTTGTGCATGCGTAAGCAAATTCTAACACTTATAGACTATTTGCCAGTCAACGATATTCCGGACTTGGACGTGAGTAAAGCTTTCGACACGAGACAAAGATGTTAGGGCTCCAGTGATATATACGGGAATGATTGTATAAAAATAACCAATCATAAACAACTCAAAGAAAACAACGCCATCCTAACTTCTATCAAAGCAAGTGCATAA